CAGCGCGGGCTCTGGCGGCGGCCGCTCGGCGCGCTGTGTCGGCTGGTGGCGAGGAAAAAATGGGCCATTGCCCGAGCGATCAGTCCATATAAGGCTGGGCTCCACTCAAGAACCTGGGAAGGAGGGGAGGAGAGAAAGCGGGAGGGAGGGAAAGGGAGCGAGGGAGGAGGGGGAGCGAGAGAGGGAGTGAGGGAAGGGTGGAAAAAAGGGGGAAGAGACATTAAAAACGCAAAGGTTGGCCACGTGTGGGCGGGTCTTGGGAGTCAAGTGGATGAAGACAGTATTTGCAGATGTGAAATTGTGGGTTTTGGGGAGCTCCGCGCTCCCAGCCAACGGCCCTCTAGAGCGAGATGAGAGGTGTAACGTTGTCAATTAATTGCAAAGACTGGTCGAGTCTTTTTTTTTTTTAACCAGTATTTACATACAAAGAACCACCGCGTCGCTGGAGAGTCCCAGCACTTGAAAGGGCTGTTTTAACAAATTGCATCTTGGCGGGGGTGTGTGGAAAACAAAACAGAGATTGGAGGAAAAAAAAAACAACAACTCTTCTTTACCATTCACCGTTTCCCACCTGCCACCCCCAAGCCGGAAAATCGGCGATCTGCGGCACCTTTGGAAAAGGGGGAGGGGGAGGCTGAACCGCGGAAATCTCTCCTTCGCATCGCTGGTGGTTCCCCAAACAAGATCCGGTTCAAATGGCAAGAACCCAACTTCTGTAAGCCTCCTAGGTCAATATTTTGGTTGAGGCTTAAGGATGAGTACTAGAAATGACAAGGCAAGTAATTGATTCCAGTTAACTGCGGAAGAGCTGGAGTCCCTAGGAAAGCGCCCCGCTCCTGGCCGGCCAGGGCCAACGCGAGCCCTCCAGCCCCCTCCAGCCTGTCTTAATTTGCTAAAGACTCGTTTATTTCCCTCACCCCACTCCTCCCACATCCTCGCTTTCTTCGTGGCTGAAGGGGACGAGCAGTTTACTTTCTGCTGGCCTGCCGGCTGGCCGGCCAGGTGGGCCCGCAGAGATCCTACTCGCCGGTGTTCAGACCCTGCCGCGCCGCCCGGGGCCTCGGGCTGGCCACCTTCCCCAAGCCA